GTGTTCACATACATTGATTTCAGAGAAACTATTCCGAAGATTCTCACATCTATCGATTGTTACCTGAACACAATAAACAGAGCAAGCTTTCAGTTTGTGTAATGCAATTATCCTCTCAGACGCAACAATCTATTAGGAAGACGATGTTTGCTTTGCTTCATGAGTTTTTTGTCCTTCGGATTGCATAGTAAAAATTGTAAGAATTACTTTCGTTTTTGCGCATCAAGTATTCTTGTAGGACAGAAGTAATTCATTTTTGATTTTGAAGGTGTTCACGAGGAAAAGAATAAAGAAGACATTCTGCACTTTTTTACCAATGTGGTGTTTGGTGATCTGTTTGATAAATATTCGTTGATGAAGTGTTGGAGGTTATCCGTTTATTTGTAACGTCCCTGATATTTTCTTTGTGTTTTCGAATAAAATGACAATGGCACAGTGTGTCGTCATAATTTCAAGCTGCGTTGAATGATCATTCTATTATCACCTCACGAAATCATGAATCACGATATCGATATTGGTAAAATAAATTTAGCCATTTGGACGTACAAGAAGCGGTGGTTACTCTGATGCAACTTTTACATCCTTAGTGGACCAGGATTCCGTAGATTGACACCCTCTCCTCTCTCTCGGTTTGAGAAGTCAGTAACAAGCCTTCACTATCAATGCCTTACAAGCAGACGTAATTTGCAAACAGACATACCAGGCCACACCAAACTATGAAATGAAAAATATGCGTGATTAATCTGGAAGGTGATTATCACAAGAGTAGGACGTGAAAAAGAAGCTCGAAAGGATTAGGTATGGCAAATCGTATTACATTAGTGTGTAAATTATTTGACAGATCATGATAAACGGAATCAGTCTGTATGTCTATTTGTGTAATCTGTTTATTTATTAAGTGCGCAATAGAGCTATAATCGATAGACATTCGAAGAAAAGAAACTTCCATTCGGAAATCACTTTTCTTTCAATTATGACAGACAATAATTTATGCATAGAAATGCACGATTTTTTTCATAACTAAACAAAGATGATGCATAAGCACGATTAGTTTGATTGTATTCAATTCTAAATGCTTTGATATCAAGATATTTTAAGTTGATTTACTCTTTCACTAATGATAAAAAATTATTCACATTAGATCTCATCTCAGATTCTATTCACGTTATATGTGTATATTTATGTCAGTTATTTGCAATGGTATCTCCTTGAAGAATGTGGTATTTTTCAAGAATTAAATGTAGAATTCAGATATAATAGCGGAAAATGAAGGTCAGAGAAGATGAAGCAACAAGAAACTAACATAACAAAAGAAGTGAAAGGATGATAGATTTTGTGAATGACAATTATAGAAAGATAGGCATGTTGTTTACAAAATGTACTTTTAAAATATTCTAGTTATGCAGTATGTGTACTGGCATAATATAATAAATTTGTTTACTATTACGAACTCTCTATATTCACAACAGATGTAGCATTGACAGAATTGTTGGTGATAGATTTTCCTGTAGTTGGTAGTAATATTACTGTTAAAAATAATAGTACAACCTTTATAAGTACTACTTTTTGCAGTAATAACAGTAATAGTCTAGAAAAAGAAAAAACGGTAGACGTCGTCTGAAATTACAGTGCATCTACAACACACACATGTGACCTCCTCAATCAGTTTACATGTTTGGAAGTGAGGCCATTCATTCAACTAGTCTCAAAGTGTTTCAGCTACGCTGTGCCTTGCACGCTGGAACAGTGGTAATGAAGATGCCACAGGCATTCGGAGTTCAACAACGCTTTAACCAGTAACACCTTCTAATATGAAGCGCACCCACCAAGTGAAATCAAAATCAGAAGCGAGAAGATCGAAGATATATTTGATAAGCTATCAATATATCGAGGATCGTTTTAACTAATCTCGCAAGAGTTTGTGACAGATGTTGAGCACGGCGTTTCCACCCGTGATCTGGGGCGGATGCTTGACCGAGCGCCTTCAGCTAGATGAGTCCACTAAAATTGTGGTCAGCATCCAATGTCGACAACTTACAGAGCTATTTATTTTGAGAATTATTTACCGCTACAGTAACAACTTCGACCTCACCTCCTACGATTTACAAACAATCTAATGTTGAGAGTCCACAGCTGTTGTAACGATAGTTGTGATAACATTAGTGGTGGTAGAATTACCGTTTGTATGAGTTGATAAAAAGCGCAATTTGTCTGAAATAAGTGATCACTCAATGTTTATGAAGGTTATCCGTTGCATAGACAGAGCTTACACACAGCTAAAATTCATGAATCCAGAAGAAATGTACATATATGTGCGTACGTATTCATAATTTCGCCGTAACACGGTCAACAAGCATAACTTTACAGAAATACGTATTTCACTTGATTACGCAACTCTCAACGATATACTAGTAAATCATGTAAAGTGCACTAGTTTCAAATATCGTTAAAGAAAAAAATTCTAATGTGGTCCGTCAAAATTACCAGGGTTTTACAGAATTCATGCTTAAATTGCAACAACAAGCTGCTCAATGCAATTTGAATTGTCAATTTCATGTGCAGCTGTGGAGTAGATTGATTACAGTGATTATCGGAACAAATCTGGAAAGAGGGCTGATGTAGATGACGAAGTGTTCATTTCGAGATGTTAGAACGCAGTGTGTCGACTACGAGGCAGTGCATGAAACTGAATATCAGAACATCAAGAACTACAGTGTTTACTTGGCTGAGCCAGTGTAACACGCACTCTAGGTCATGCAAATAACAATTCAACGAGTAATTGCTAAAGCAGGATGCAGTTGAAAGCACAAGTTTGTTACATGATTGCCCAGTGGGAATTTTCACTCACGTGTATTTTGTAATGATGTATGCTTAATAGCTTGTAAAATTGATTATATCCGGCCAGTCTGTAGAAATACTGCTGATTTTGCTACTAATGATGATAAACAATGTAGTTTGGATTTGGTGAAGACGGTTTTTATATTTGTTTGTTTACTTGATTTCTCCGAAAACTGTGGTTTTGCGCGTGTTGGAGATGTTAGATTCTCAGAACCTATTTGGTAAACGCTTTACTTTGTAATTCTATTGCAAAACGTTTAGTTTCTTATTTTTGGAACAAATGCGCCGATTTTCACCATCAGGTCACATTGCTCACACGAAGCTTGAAAGACGCTCAAGAAAACTTCTCATAACTCAATATTGGATATATCTTATCGCCTCGTCAATTAATAAAATCACATTGAAATTTAGGAATACTTCCTGAGCGCATTCTCATACGAGAGATCCATAAACATATTGACGAGTTTTTTCGCGGAAAAAAATTCATTGTGCAATATGCACAAGAAAACCTGGACCCCAATCTCCACATCCTCTCATATGGTGTCTGTCACTCTGCTGGTTGCCAACCCCTGTCCATGTGCATCTTATTAGGCCACATGTTGCCACGATCAAACATTTTAGGACTGTCCAGATCGTGAAAAATATGGAAGAAAGAAGAGTTACCAACACAAAAAACTGTGTAGTTATGTTTTCTGTCCATTCACACAATTCTTATACAGACAAACTGAGCTGGGAAGCCCACGCGTCCGAGATTGAAAGCATAAACTGCTTAAACACGAGCACCGCGAGAATACCGAATAAAATGGATGAGTTGTGTGAATTCAGTAATGCTAATAATGCTCACGTGACATACAGATTTTTACACATTCGAATTCAGAAGCTGTCGATGAATGTATGGAAAGGTTTTGGCTTACAGCTAAGTATAATCTTTGGCATTGGCAAACGAGCCCGCTCTGCTTTCCTACTCAAATCTCAAAAACGCACTTCGACTTCAGGTATGGTGTACTAATTTCGAATGCTCGGAAGAGGAAACTGTCATGAAAATATTTTTCAAGACGTCAATAACTCAAATACGTTACATATTCATTCAAGTCGCATGCACACTCAAGATTAGGCAAATAACATTTCAAAGAGTAATTGCAAATCCAGTCAAACGGGTGAGCACAAGTTTGGTGCAAGTTCATCCCGTTGTAAAGTTCACCCACGTAACTCATGTGCATGTCGTAATGATAAATGTTCAAAATGTTGTTCAGTTTGATACATTTGGTCAGTCTGTAGAGCTTTTCTTGGTTTTGCTACTAATGTTCATGAACCCATGTAATTCAGATTTTATTATGTCGTGCGTTTGTAGTGATTATTTATCTCTGTCCGAGATTTTGGAAAATAATGTTCACACTCAGAAACGATTATATACCTCTCTCGATTATATCCTTGGCTTTTTTGTTCAAGCGGACAATATACAGTCAAGCCCTAATCCAGAATTGAATGAAACTTTGTTAGGATCACATAACCCTCAAAATAAACATCAACTAGAACAAGTCTATGTTTTACGTGACATTTGTTGAAAAAGCTGGATAGATCAAAACTTCGACTGGTATAAGCTGCAGAAGTTATGAAAAGTTTTGTAAACGAAATGCCTGTTTCGTGTAAGGTTACATTTATAAGGCGATATGTACACATAATGTCGAAATTGATTGAATCAAAATCTTCCTAGATGTCGTTGAGCCATCACATCACAAACCGTTCATAATACATTTGGGAAGATCAATCAGTTCGCTGTAGTACATAGTCAATATTTAATGTAATCAATGATTGTTGTCTCACTGTCAACTTATTGGACGCTTGTGGTTGTTCTGGTTGTCAGAAAGAGCGTAGGACTCGTGACGTCCGGAGGAAGTCAGCTTTCCCAATAAGACGTCATAACACTCCTAAACGCGGACATTCTGACTCTTAGAGCAGAGTTCAAATGGTTTGATTTAATTTTCTTGGTTGGCGTTCTTTTTAGCGAGTTAGTTTTCTACGGGATTCTGTCGCTAAGCCTATGCTCAACCCTCCTCCTTTATCCGGGCTTCGGATCATCAGTAACCCACCAATGGGCTCCATGAGGAAATAATGAACTACATTACTCACCTCCAATTTCTTAATAACATACTCTTTTTCATTTAATACGCATGTGAATAAGTAATCTCTTCATTAACTTCATCATTATTTATACTGCTGTCTGTAGCAGCATAACTATTGGTATAGTTCTTACTAATTGTTATTTCGTCTTCATACTGTAGACAATCATGTTGATGTCGTTGATAACCACCGTATTTTTCTCCCATTTCAGTAAAATCTACTCCGTTCTGAGTTAATTTTGTCATTAAATGTTTGCATATCCTTGTAGTGCCAGGTGAATTAGACGTTTTTTTATCAACATTAATATGGTCAGAATTTGTGTTTGATGTTTGCATAATACGTGTTTAGGAAGAAACATTATCATTGACAGTTAATAAATTACAATCAGTATCATCATTATTCAGTTTATTTTGTGATGATAAGGACATGCCGAAACGATGAATACGAATGCCATCAACGGAAGCATCGTCAAAATCAAAGTTTAACAAACGGAAATCATACGTGTTTTCACAGTCACCTTGTTAACTTAACTTTTTACAGGGAGATTTACATCGAAACAGTAGCAAATATGAACTACCTTAAAACAAACCTCGACTACTCTCAAATAACTAAACAAATACATAAACTACTTTTAAAACATCATTCATAGAAAGCGAATGCAGGCGCAAACATTTTCTGGTTTAACAGAAGTAACAAGTACTCGAGTAGAAATTGATTATGTTTTAGCAAGAACAAAAAACAAACGAAAAAGGTGAAATAAAATATTGAAATAATTTCAATCACCCATATATGAAGTTAAAAATTTTATAACAATGAGCCACACTTTTCACCTCCAAACAATTTATTTTGTTAATTGTTTGATGTTAAGGGCATACTGAAACGATGAACATGAATGTCATCAAAAAAAGCATTGTCATTGTCTAATATGCTAGCTGTACATTTATTATTTGTAATAATAGTCGTAGTAGTTTTAGTGGTATAGCCACTAAAGTCTTCCATAGTGTTATCACCATTCACAACACTAACATACATCGATGTACGTAAGCGACATAGTTCTTCTTTTAAACTTAACATTTTTTACTCTATTGCTGGTGTACTATGTTGAGACAGCTTATTTAAAACTAAAATGAATGTCATAACAAAAAACACACATGATAACCATTAGAAAATATACATTTTAGGAAACGAAGGAGATAATGAGTGAAGTAAAATCAATCAGTAAATGAACATAAATAGTAGTTAGTTAAAAGTTTCAGTTGAGTCACAAAAAAACTCATTCAATCAGTCAGACTACAGCTAAGAAGCAAAGTATTGAGATGTTTCGGTCAAGCCCCCGTGAACTCAATGAAGCTCAAAGAAGCTCAAACAGAGTCGGAGACATTTCTTCCAATCGTCTTTTGATAGAACATTACAGCATTGTGACGTATAGCTTCCCTATCGAACAAATGTTTAGACAGTTCCACACGGATTAGACGACTTTAATGACGCTTTTGAAAAATGTAAATACCCGAGATTTTATACCAACGTGACGCTGATTGAAATAGAATTTCTTCTCATCAGTCTTCTGTATTCGAATTTGTGACTTTGAGATTTCTACAGATCAAGCGCTCAAGTTGAACGAAGTAATCCATGACAAAAAGCGTTCTATATATAACTGTATCTAACTGTTATGCAGCGCTCAACGGTTGTGTGATTTAGGTCGGTTGGTGAATTCAATGATTAGAAACTACATAATATCTGACAATCATGCGCATAACTGTTTCTGTGGTTTTGCTCATCCACATGAGCACTCATGGATAGTTTATTATATATATATATATATATATATCGGTTGGAGTCTTCAATAATTTGAAACCCCAGGGACGAACAGTCTTAACATAATAATAATCGTTACTAAGTAACCTATTGACACCTGACTCAATAGGATGAAATTAAACAATGCATACCGTCAGAATTTGAGCTCAAACGTTCATTCAAAACTATTTTTCATGCCAACTGTTCGTTCGCTCATCCGCATGACTACTCATTGATTCTTATAATGTATATATTTATAGTATAACTGTTAAGTAACTAGAATACATACATTTATATTTCTTATATCATAAGCTTTTATTTGACTTATTGACGATCACATTGCGATTTAATATTTTTAACTTATTCCCAAGTTGCTCGTTACACTCTGTCATGATTACAGCCACTTTTGGCTTGATCTTATGTTTCACGGTGTGATTTGATCCGGCTGCGTGTATATTCACAAACTAGGTGTGAAACATATATGATCTGTATAATGAGATCTGACAATAATGTTACACGTGTGTTGCCTCCAGTCTGCGGTTATGGTTTCAAGTTGACAATTCATACTTGCTTAAACAACATAAGCACAAGATCAAAACGTCACCCAGTATACATGAGAATACTGTCTGAGAACCCAAGCCAAAGCAGATGGTCTCCTTAGCAAGCCATTTTTCGACACTTTATTTAATTCACAAGGCAGTGAAGCAACCATATGTGATTCAGTCCCTCGAAAGCCAGTGACCAACAATTGGTTCAGAGGTAGCTTATCCCCTACGGATCCTGGTGACCATTTGCACCTTTGCTTTTTAACCGGAGGTGTTCAACACCCGTAGGTGAACCCTTAATACCACCCGACCTATTTAAAGAACCATGCACCCCATCTTTGTCTCCTCGATTCTGTAAACAACTCCAGCGTCACGAGAATTCAATGAGCAGGACTACATCAAGAATGACAATAAACGTGCCGCCACGTGAGGGCATTTTGAGAGGGTTCGCAGGCTCCACTCATGTTTGTCTATGTAAGGGTACATAAGGGCCCGGTTAAGAAGACCTTTATTTTCAAGTACCTCAAATCAGATATCCTTCAACGCTATGCGTAACGGAAAAGTGACGACCGCCCCTACAACATCTCAACAGTAATTGAGATCACCAGATATTAAATGTTTAGTGGCGAATATGAAATCCATTCACGGATTACTCATCAGTAAGTGGGATATTTATTTTCTAATCAAAAAGTAAACCATTGAGTCAATTCCACAGCATAAGCTTACATTTTGATGTTTATGCACATGATTGCAGACATTCACAACAAAATTTTAGACGGAAACGTTCGGACAAAATTTAGTGAAAAACAACCAAGAAATAGAAATGAAGGCGTGTTAAATTATCAACATGTGTGTCACGTAAGAACAAATATACTTCTCATTGAAACATAAACACAACAGATGAAATAAATGGTTGAGACATATTATTATACATAATTTACATGACTGTACCGACAACATATAAATTAATCTGAAACAGTCATTATTGTTCAAAAATTTTAAAACTGTTCAAATGTGGTCAATTCACCTGTAGAAATAACCCAGAAGCTAAAAATGATTACATTTATTTAAGGTGTAGGACATTATCGTGGATATGTAACTTATTCTGTAGAAGTAATGTGTTGTATGTGCGGAACTTTCGGCTACTAACTAAGGAAGAGTATATCTAATTTGTCGACCTAATGGAAGTACATGTAACGTGGTTCGAATACGAAACATTTCTCAAAACAGTGTGATCTATGTACTAAGGACTACTATGAAAAGTTATTTATCTTTTGTTCAAACAAGACTACCCACATCATTTGCATGTTCTTATCAACTGCAATAACGGCCATTGGAATTCCGCACAAAATGTCGCAATGTGGTGATTGATAAGTTATAACCTGTTAGGAGTCAAATAAACATTAGCATATCTAGTTAGTAAAAGGCTTAAAATTGGTAAATAAACAGGATTACATAAAGGGTTATGTGAAATGAAATTTCTGAATTTTAAAACGGATATGCAAACTTCTTATACATGAGTAACAAAGAAGGTATAGTGACCAACCGGATCAACATACTTAAACAGTTTATCAATTATTCACCATATATGAATCATCATAAAAAATTCAAATAATTATACATCAAAAATGTTAATCCACTGGGTCTTCATTATTTTCCTGTTCAGAAGTGTTCAATAAATGAAGTAACCTTTTTACCAAAAAGGAAGCCGTTCAACGACATCAGTGTTGTGTACCTTAAATTTAAGATAATTTTTAATCTTCTATTATATCATATCTATCACTCTTACAAACATTTTATTTCATGATATGATTACTCTTTCCACTAATGTGGATTTAGAATTAATAGAAAGCTATTCGATATATATAGTAAAATGAAGAATCATATGTCACGTTTTCTGTTGAACAGCTAGTAGTGCCGTTTACTTATTAAGTGTTTTCAGAATGTTGTACAGAAAAACGTTCATATAGGACTCTATAAACGCCACCGATTTTCTTTAAATAAACTAATAATAGGGCGTGGCTTCCACACATGTATCACGCCTTGTCTCTAGAATTCGAAATAACTAATAGACATAGTTCTGGATTATACAAAACGTTTCCAGTTATCAAAACGAATTTTTTAAAAAGTCATTATTGATTTACAAATGATCTTATGGAATTTTAATCTTTTTCAAAATCCATGGTTTGGCAAATTTTCCCCTACAATTACATATCCCGTCATAGCTTGATAGGGTGGTTAGTTAATTTTATTATAGGGCTGTCCAGTTTAAGAGGTTTGTAGTATAATTAGTATGCAACCAGCAGTCGGATACAGGATGCGTGTTTCTTCCGACTTGGGGTTTATCAGGCAGATCTACTTCTATGCCACAATGAATGTATATCGTGTTGAAACCTAAATGATGTATTTTACTATTTAAACGCCCAACGCATTCTCCATCAAGATAATGAGTTGAGATTGACACTAAATTGTTCAAAGAGTATCAGGATATTTATGAAGATTTGAATTTTCTCGCTATTGATATCCTATAACTCTGTCGATTTGTTTCGTTACTCAAAAGTCTTCAAATATCACTTATCACTTTGATAATTCCATATGTATCTTAGCCGTATACAGCCTGAATACCGAAATCATTTAATTAGTCAGTAATTCCCTGAACATTGATAGAAATGAAAGTGAGAAACAAAGCAAAACGAACATCATGAATACAAATTTTGAGGAGCACACACTTCATTTTTCTTTTAACTCGGTTAAACCTTGTACACAAATTTGATTATCAGTTTCCAGTTGTGAACTACGTGAATTTAAACCAACTGCTTCACCAGCATGTTCACGTAATTGATCAATAGCTGTGGATAGAAGTAATATGTTGGATGACTTTTCACAAGCAATATCTATTCCATCTTTCAAATGAGTACCTTCTTCCACTTTTGCAGTTGAAATGATACACTACAGTGTGAAAGACAGACAGAAAATACATAACAACAAAAAGACGG